ATAGCAATAGAACTGTACGTCTGTCACCAACGTTTCAAAATCGGCCTGCTGTGTGTATGGATGGCAGAGGTACTCGGGGTTTGCTACTGAAGGAAATCTGTGTTCGAGGGGAAGGACTCCAAAAGGGTCTCGAGGAGGGAAGAGATAGCAGCAATGGGGTTAGGCGAGGTGTGGTGAAAGAGGCTGGGACGAAGGCAACAGAGATGAGTGGAACAAGTGTAAATTCGAAAACGCTAGAGGAATTTCCCATGGCAACCGCTGAATCCATTGCATCGGACATTCGAATTGACCATAAGTTTTGCGAAGAGGAAGACGACGAAGAGGTCGTTGACGTAGAGACGGTGATTTCAGAGGAAAAGGCACCGACAAAAACTCCCTTCTCATCCCCTCCCATCATGCGGACCACATCTGCACAGAGGCAGCATTTATCTCCCCCACCGATTTCACACCAGTCATCAATTTCTCTGGCAGCATCGGTACTCGACGGTACAAATAAACAGCCCTCCTGGAAGGTTGGCGGTCCCACTGTGATTCAAATGGCCCGACCACAGTATTGTATGTACTGTGGCGCCCATTTTCCCTCTTCCCCAACCGGCCTAGATAACTCGGAGCTATGGGCCCACTCTGTCAGGTGCGCACAGCAACCGAACACAAGAGCCCTGACGACTGTATCCAGTGGGACGGAGGGCCTAGATACAGTCTTGTGTAGGCCTAACCGCACCGCACTCCCATTGAGTCCTCCGAAATCCATCGCTTTCCAACCCTCTGTCATACAGACGCCCACCTGCACACCATCCTGTCCACACTTGCCCGTCTTCGTTTCGACGCCTCCTGTTTTCACAGCCTCTGCCACGTTGAAGTCAGCCGGTGAGCCTGAGACACAATCTCCACAGGTTCGGTGGGAGTCGAGTGAGCCGGCCGGTGAACGACGAGTTCATCAGGCGGAAATAGAGGCAACACAGGCGCACTATCTGCAGTTTATGGGGGCTTGGCTCACGCAGTTGTTGTGGCAGATCGGGGAGCCCAACAACTCTCTGGCCGACATTAAGGGAGCTTTCGCCCAGTCATTGCTGCGACAGTGCTGCTGCGAATAAGGCCTCGCAATTGTTAGTTTTATTCTTGTTTCCGCCTCAGCGGTTAGGCTATGGACTGTGAATTGGTGGGGCTTCTCATTCCTCTAACTCGTTGTACTTTGCCTCCTATGCCCAAGCAGAACAGGTTACCTCGCTACAGTTTTTGCTCAAGCACTGAAAGCTTGTACCAAAGAATCGATGCCTTCTCTTTATTTGCTTTCAACAAAGTTTTCTTTTGTTGAGGAGAAATTCATTGAGTATGAAAATGCATGATCAAGAGATTCGTAGGTCGACTTCATCGGAAAACGAAGAGCGAATTCCGTAGTTCTGCAACTGTTTGACTATAAAATGAAGCTGAAGTTGACGTAGTCCACAAGACATCCTCCCTTATTTTGTGCAAAAATGAGCTAAGCTTCCGTCCATCATATGAAGGACATCCGCAACTCATTCTTGCAAAGGTCTTAAGTTAACACCAGAGCAAGAAAACT